AGAAAGCCACAAGAAGCTTTCTAACCTCTTGGTTTGAAGAAACACAAGAAAAGGAGGACACTTGTTTCCCAACAAGTACCTGCAACCCACCTCACTAGCCACCATAATTCCATAGTCAAGGTAACTGACTTTAACCAAGCGCTGAGTGGGAGGCAACCCACTGTTAGGTATTTTACTTATTTATTTATTTTATTTTTACTTACTAGTTTTGTTTTTCTTTCTTTTTAGGAAGATAGACACACGATCAATACTTATCGACCGATACGAACCAGTCGATATCACCCGACACAGACCTACACGCATCGATCGACGATGGCGACTCACCATCGATCGATATCCATATCGGTCAGGTATATCGTTCACCACTATGATATCAGTTAATACATTTAATTTTTCCTATGCTCTTATTCTGACTGATTATACACTGAGGACAGTGTCTGATTTAAGTCTGGGGGGAGTTGATTACTGATGCTACTTTACCTCTTTTTGATCTTATTTATAAAAGTTTTCAAAAAGTGGTTTTATTGAGTCAAGAAAGGGAAAAAATTTCAAAGTCTTACTTATTATCTTACCACTCTTTAGCACCATTCTTAGATTTGTTGATTGCAGAAAGTACTATAGATGCTAAAGTGGATCACCGATCACCTATGTCAACACTTTCATGATTGTCTGAAAGAACCAAAGCTGATTTCCAACCTAACCTGACATCTATTGCTTGTCTTGGGGCTTGGTATACAAGGGATCGGAATCCTCCTGCAAGTCTGGAAGGTAAAAGTCTCAAAAATTTTGGTTTCCTTCTTTCCTTCCTTCGGCACCCCCAAAGAATAAAAGACTGATGTGATTTCCTGAGAGGCAGAGGGAGAGGTACATTACATATGACCCCACTATTCTAAATCAAAGGAATGATCAAAGCGAGGGAGCGGTACATTACCTATGACCCCACTATTCTCTTACACTTTGTCAAGAAAGATCAATAAGATGAACATTAATTGTTCATTGGGATTGATATAAAAAAGAGAGAGAGAGAGAGAGAAAGAGTTGGGATTCAAAGAAGGGGGATAAAGAAAGAAAGGGAACCAGGATGAGAATGCCTGAAATTTGTTTGAGTTGAATCCAAGTGTTCCTTGATCGATACTCCCAAGGTAAAGCATACACCTTTATTTTTATGCATAAATGAAATCAGTAGAGGGGATAGACAGACAAGGAATGTTTAAGTTGATTGGCTAGATGTATTTGGTTGCTAAGCTAGGATATGGTATAATGTACTTCTGTGGTTGATAGATATGAGATGTGACTTGCAACAAAGTAAGAGGTGATGATTTTAAAGTTGAGATTTTGATTGAGTCCCTGCTGTTTTTTAAACTTCTTTCAAAGACTAACTTAAAGTTTTCTTGAGGACAAGCAAAAGGTTAAGTCTGGGGCAGTTGATATACCATGATTTTGACCCGTTTTTGGTCATGGTATTGATATGTTTTTATTATAATTATCTATGTTTTGGAGCCTATTAGGTATGTTTTCAGGTTTAGGAGCATTTTGTGGTAAAGTGATGATTTAGGTGCCTTATGGAGCTTAAAGGAGAGTTTTACAAGTTGACTATGAATATCCGACATTGAGAGACACATATCGATCGATACACACCTTGTGTAATCGATCGATGACGATTCCGTAGAAGTTGAAGTCGAGATACTCCATCGATCGATGTACGCAATGTACCATCGATCGATACAGAGCGTGATGAGCAAGATTTACTTGGCCGACTTGAAGCCCAAGTTCTCACCAAATTACAAGATTGCCCTTGAAGAGTTTTTAACCTAATTGTACTCCATATTTATAGTTATGCCTATGAGCCCTAGAAAGAAGCATTAGATCTATTAAGAAAGTTTTGTATTCTATTTCTACTTAAGCAATAAAAGTATTTTCTTTTCATCTTACTCTTTTGCTATGAATCTCTTGGCTATGTCTGAGTATATTCATTTGTTAGATTTGGGGTTCAAATAGTTATGAGGGATTAGCCCCAACTATGGATTGTTGAGTTGTTATATTCATTATCCAAATGAACCCTAATGCTTACTCTAGATTTGCTACCTAGAGTTATGATTATGGAGTGACTAATCTAATAGTCATTTTCCTGAAATCATTTGGCTAAACCCAGACTCTATAAGGCACGATGTGACAGCCGGTCTGATAGAAATTCTCGGGTGAACACAGTTTCAATCCGATCTGATACTATATCGATCGATACTCTCATAGAGTCATCGTTCGACGGCAACATATATCGATCGACACTGCGATAGCAACATCGATCGACACTGCGATAGCAACATCGATCGACACTGCGATAGCAACATCGATCGATACTATCGGCAATCATATCAATGGACGAGTCTAATAGCGACAGCTATAGATTCATCTAAGGATTGAAGTTCTCATATATTTGCAAGCAATTCGTTAAGACATCCATAGATTTATAATCCTGATTTTTGAATAGTAACCTTGAATCTAACTACTTTCTTTCATTGTTTTCAAACCCAATACATATTTTCCTTAGCAATTTACCATTGCTACCTATTTTTATTTATTTTTTTAAAACCTTTTCAACCTAGCTTAAACACGTAGGATTATATCTTTTGTCACTCTAGGTCCTTGTGAATTGGTAAGTGGGGAGGAGAGAGACAGAGAGAAATAGGGTATATCCCTAATTTTGGGGTTTTACGTGTATAGAAGGTGCAAATTCTCTAACTTTTAACTTTTTTTACTCCACGACTTTATTCCGATAATTTATCAGTCATCGCCTAAAACTAAATACAGTTTATACAATCCAATCAATCACCATACTAAGATAGTAATAAATAATTTTAAAGATATTAATTTTAGAAATTGTTTAAAATTAAAAAGAAAAAGTTAAACGTTTTTAATTGTAGTTTTCCTTTTACACCGTAAATGATCTTTATATGTGTTTCGTCAAAATTAAATCAGGTTTTATCGTCATATTATTTCATCTGTGTTTTAATATATAGTATTTCTAATTCATTTTATTAAAATGTTATGAAATTATATCATTTAAAATGAATTCATAAAATTATTTAATAACAAAAAAATTTTAAAAATGGTCTTATTGTTAGTTGGAAATGAGAAATAAGTTATACAAAAATAACTATAAATTAAGTACACATAGGAAAAATTATAAATTCAAAAACTGAAAAATACTAAATAAATTGTTTGAAATACTATAACTTAGATACCATTTTTAATACTACATAAAAAACGTATAACATCTGAATTTATGATTTAGTGTTTAGGGTTTAATATTTAAAGGATGAAATTAAATTATAAAGTTATATAAAAATTCCAAATGATATATATGATATTAAATGTCATATAGTTAAAATGAAATTAGAAGAACTTCTTAATTGCCTTTAAATCGTCTTCTTTAAATTTATTTATTTATTTTAGGATTTATCATCACAAAATTATAGTTTTTCTCTTCATAAAAAACTATGGTTAAAAATTATGTTTTATTATAAACGGTTATTCACAAAATCGTTATTTAGAGTCTTCAACATGCACATAAATTTTTGTGGCTATAATATACATGTATTAGTGGTTTTATTATCAGTAATTATATGATAAAAGTGATGATCAAAATTATTTCTATGGTTGAATTATTAAAAATTCAAGTTCACGATACCAAAAAATATTGATGGTTATAAATACATAAAAAGTTCAAAAAATCTTACAATGACAATTAAAATTTCACTAAAATGACCAATAAACATCAGAATAAATTTAAACAATAAGAAAAAAATATACTAAGTTAAAACAAACATTGAATTGGTACATAACAAGAGTATGATATGTATATGATATTGTCATTAACTTAATTGACCTTATTTAAGTTTCAAATTTTTTTTATTTCTCTCTAATTTTTATTTTGAGTTAGACTTGGTTTAAAATTTTAGGTATAAAGTTAAAAACAATTCACTTATGTGCCATGATTATTAAAATACAAATATTAACAACAACTTCTATGGGTAAACAAATTTTAAATTCTAAAATAACTCACGCAACATATACAAAATAATACTATAATATAAAATAATTTATTATTTTATGTTCTTAAAACATCATATAAAATATGTGTTGATTAAAATACAAATACTAACCGGAACTTTATGGGTAAACAAATTCTTAATTTCTAAAAAAAATCTCGCACAACATATGCAAAACAAATCCTCAAATTATAACATGAATTATTATTCTTATATAGTTTATAAATATTAAAACATCAAATAAAATCTGTACAAAGTACGAGCCTATATCTAGTATATTACAATCTCTTGTTATGGTTAACGAACCAAAAAAATAGCGAAAGCTTAAAAAATTCACTTACGTAGGCAGAAACGTAGGACAACGGAGGTAGTGCCGTGAAGATGACAAGCGGCTCAAACTTTTGGTGAAAGAGATATTTTACGGTGATTTTCTTTTCTTTGGTTTTTACTTGTTTTGGACCTAGAAATCGGGAATCGAACATTAATAAGTGTGGCAAATAAACCTGCAGAGGAGGAGGAGGTTGAGACGGCCAACATAAGAATACCAGAGAGGTTATTTGCGACAGATCAGTACCCACGCAAGCGGCTATATGTGTACTCAAGCAAGCGACTGAATGTGCCACAGTGGTGAGGAGAACTAGCTGGATAATCAGTATAGTTGAGCTATTCCATACCGTTCTCTTTTTCGTTGATGGAGAGCACAAGCCTTACAGTGGAGGGACGACCAAGTAAGTTCACATCTCAAGTCTCTTCGATTCTGGAACTAGATTCAAATCTTTAATGTGAATTGTATTAAAGTGGATTTTTTTGAATCTGACTTGTGATTTAGATACAATAGTGACATGGGTGATATAGAAACATATTAATTTCGTTAAACTGAATAAAACTACAACTATAGACCTTTTTGTTGCGGGAGCATAAAAACAGAATAAAAGATAATGACAATCAAAACTAAGAAGGATAAATTGAGGGGAGTGGACGATGAAGTTTGTTATTTTTATGAGAGAAAGATTGGTGAAGTTGTCGTCGTTTTTCAGCAAAGCTATCACTGCTTCTCATTATCCAGAATCTTTCAATCTCTTCTGGTTGTCTTCCTGGCACTCGTCCTGCTATTAAATCCCACCTGAAATAAAAAGAAATACACTAACTACACCATTTTCTATCTGGTTTGTTGACATTTAAATTTATTTTGTCAACTGTAGAGCCAGCCAATCATTTATTCATAAATACTTATCAAAAAAGAAAGCAAATTAGATTTCTTACTACATATCAATGTATGGTATGTAATATGTATATAAATAACTTAATGAACGTGATAACTTGACTTGAATATTTTTAAGAAAATTAGTGGACACCATGTGCTTGCGCTACAACATTGTACACTGTAAAACTACAACCATAAGTACATGCCTAAAATATCGTTTTTATATATTAATTGAAAAATATTATATAATTATTTTGTAGCCACGTATCACTATGAAAATAAAATTTAGAATTCTTAGAAAATAGTTAGTCCATCTTAATTTATATTATAACTTTTATGAAACTAACTATTAAATTGATAAAAAAAATTAAATAATATACAAAATAATATTTTCACACTTTCCTGAAATAAAAACTACAGAATTATATAATATGGTATGACAATTAATGATTATGAATAAAAAATATTCGATAATAATTTTTGTATCTTAGTTCTTTTTTGTTTAATTTATATTATTAAAAGATATCAAACAATCACATTACCATATAATAAAAATAATTTTTCTCTTAAATGTTAATATTTAAATTTTAAATTGACTATAAATTATTATAAACGTTAAATATCTCACACTAAAATTTTGTGACCAGTAGTTTAACTTTTTGTAATAACAATATACAAATGATCATAAATTGTATGAATATGAAATCTCATTTAATAGATATTCATATTATATATTAATATAGTTTTAAATTAAACTATATAACATATAAAATACGTAAATATGTTAATTTCTGAATTTGTATTGAAAAGTATTAAAACCCTGATATTTTAATTTTGAAATTTACATTGAAAAAATCGCACATTAGAAATTTTGTGTTTATCACATTAATATGCATTTTTAATAATAAATATTTATATTAAGTATACTATATATTAAATTTAGTTATATATCTAATTAATTAAATATAATGATTGCTTTAATTTATTTACCTAAAAATATTGTGACTATACAAGAGGTATTATTTTGATGTATGTATTTACTCAAATTTAATTAAATACATAATACGTAAATGAACATAAATAAATCTAGCTAGTGCCATTGCACAATTCTGGTGGAGCTCAAATCCGCCAAAAAGGGGTATTCACTGGTCAACATGGGACAAATTATGCTTATCCAGAGATGAAGGTGGTATTGGTTTTAGGATGATTCATGAGTTTAACCTGGCGCTACTAGCAAAACAATTATGGCGACTGGTACAAAATCAGGATTCTCTGGTTGCTCCCATCTTGAGAGGTCGGTACTACAGATTGAGTACGCCTTTGCGTCAAATAAATACTAGCAATCCCTCATATGTGTGGACAAGCATATCCGCCAGAATAGAATTGCTACTATTAGGAATTAGACAAAAAATTCATTCGGGGTATGAGGTTAAGGTTTGGGAGGATCCTTGGATTCCTACTATTCCTGCGAGACCAGCAATCCCTTTAGCACCGGTTCTGCATTCGAATATGCGCGTGAGCGATTTGATTAACCAAACACGAAGAGTTGGGATGATAGACGACTTCAAGATTACATTAATGCGGATGACATTCCACTCATCAAGAGTATGGCTATTAGTTCCACACACCGGCGGGATACGTACTGCTGAAGCTATACAAGGACTGGACAGTATACAGTTAAATCTGGATACTGGGTAGCACGAAATATCTTGAGGAAGGAAGATGAAACTGAAATATGTGAGCCTAGTATCACAAAGTTCCAAACACATGCTTGGAAGGTCAGGGCTCCCCAAAAGATTTGGCATTTTATGTGGCAGGTGATTACAGGACATGTAGCTGTCACAAGCATTTTAAACTACCGGCATATGAGATGTGACAACCACTGTCCTCGATGTGGGGAGTTAGAGGAGACGATCACACATGCAATATTTGAATGTCCACCTGCTTTACAGGTTTGGGCGCTATCATCTACGCCTACCAATCCAGTTATGTTTCCAGTTCAAAGCACGTACACGAATATGGATTATCTGTTCTGAAGGAAGAATGCAATAATGGAACCGAAATTGGATAAGAATCCTTATCCTTGGTTAATCTGGTACATTTGGAAGGCTAGGAATGATAAGTTATTTCGAGGCATTGATAGGGATCCATTGGAAGTGGCGCGTTACGCAAAGAGTGAATGCCAAGCATGGTTCCAAGCAAATGAGCAGGAAATACCGTCTTCTCTTGGGGATGGATTAGGTGAAGACCAGGCCTTAAGCTTGGGGAACATCTGCATGGTGGATGGATCTTGGACTTCAACGGAATCCTTCAGTGGATGTGGGTGGGTTTTAATGATATTTCAGGAAATAGCCAGTTACAGGGGGTGCGTAATTTTGATCGAGTGGAATCGGCGTTGCATTCAGAGATGGAAGCATTGCGGTGGGCAATGGAGAACATACTTCAACATTCGCGATGTCAGAGTTTTGGAACTGATTGCAAGGAGAGGATCGAAATGCTCAGGAATCCTCATGCATGGCCTAACTTCTCAACAGAGTTTGAGAAATTGATGACGCTGAAGACATGCTTTCGAGACTTCAAGATCTCTTATGTACCTAGACTTCAGAATGGCTCTTCTGATTCTTTAGCTAAGTTAGCTAGGTCTTTTTATCGTAAACTTGTGTACGTTGGTTGTTATGTTCCGGTCTGGTTACCCAGACCACCTCAAATCGCTTGAGTAATAGATCAACCGTTTGATGTCAAAAAATAATAATAATAATGATATATAAAATAATTTTTATATATAATGTTCATTTCGCGTAATCGAGGGGATATTAACCTAGTGATTAATAATATACAAACATAATGTTGTCCAAAAAATTTATACAAGCATAGGTTGTCTAAATTATTTATCTATCAATATAGACAATATCAGACCACCTCAAGTCGATTAAGTAATAGATCAACCGTTTGATGTTAAAAAAAAAATAATAATAATATATAAAATAATTTTTATATATAATATTCATTTCGCGTAATTGAGCGGATATTAACCTAGTGATTAATAATATACAAACATAACGTTGTCCAAAAAATTTATACAAGCATAGGTTGTCTAAATTATTTATCTATCAATGTAGACAATATTATTTTGCTCTGGCCGAGATAATTGATAGAAAAATGGTTACCTATCACCGACAAGTCTATACATTCTAAAGATGAGATCTTCTTCTTGTGCTGACATATTGATAAACTCCCAGTCAGTACTGCTCACTTCTGCACAAAGTTATAGTCAAACAATTAAACTCAAACAAACATTATATTAGCAAAAAATGATTTTAAAATAATCTTGATACTTTATGTTAATTAGGCATCTCGATATCTGTAAAATAGAGATGCGTTAGAAATGATCTTAACTGGTGGTATTCAACTAATTTAGAACTGAACATTGGTCTTTTTATCCACAAGTATTTTCTAAAAGCATTTTTTCGAGATGTTTCCACTAGAGTTTCTTATATTTAAAAAAAAAAATAATAATAAGTTTTTTTTTCATATGAAAACTGCAAAGAGCCACATTATAAATTTTATTACATTGGGATATTATATATTAGTTTATTTTTTTATTTTAAATTTTCTTTTCATTATATAACTAAGATTTTAGAATATCAATATTTTTGTTAAAGAAATTCTCTGGAATTTTAATGGATGATGATGCTCTAGATTGAATCACTAGGCCAAATCGGATCATAGGAACTAATTTTAAACTCGAAGTAAAAAAATATGCTTTTAAGGTGTGCAAAAGCATATTTCTTGCTTCTACCTATGAACGAACAATTACGGAAACAAGTAAAATCTGAGGAAATATCTAAATAATCAGGGAATGGTGAATTCGACCTTCAGAGTCTTGGAGAGTGGCTTTGTGTTGCTTACAACAGCGACGACGGTCAGTGTTATCCATAAGGTAGTATGAAGAAGGTAAATTATATTTGATGTTCAGTTGTTGAATGCAAGAAAAGAAAAATGTGGGAGATGAAAATTTATAAAGCTAAGAAAAGGAAGAAGAGGGGAGGAGCGACAGAGAGGAGGAAATGTCTAACGAACAGCCTTTACAAACTAAAAGTAAGAAGTGTTGTGTGGTCTTGTTGACATCTTAGTCTTGTCGTTGACAGTCTCTCATGCACACATGTAGATGAAGTCTTTATTGGGATTTGTAAGTATCTGAAGGCTTATTTTGTTCTCATTCGTCAAATAGTAACAAAATAACTATTTCCTCTAGAAATTTTCTAAACCTTCTTTTATACTTATATATATACTAGATATTTTCTTGCACCATGTGCAGTGATAAACTTTTGAATAGTTAAAATATATTTCAAATGAAATTTATTAATATTATATATTTTATTATTTTAACTAATAGTTAATATAAGTTTGATTTAATGAAGAAAAAAAATTAAGAAGAAAATAAATTAGTTTATTTTAAATTATATTTAATAATATATAGGTAATATATTTAAAATTCCAATTTTAGAAAATTTTATCTATTTAGTTTGGTTAAATGTATTAAATCCACTTGTATAAAATTACTAAGAAAATTCATATAAAATTGTTTAGTCATTAAAAATTATAACTAAACAATACTTATAAAATTTGTTGATATCTAAAAGAAACTAATGATATTACGATTAAAAATTTCTAAATTTTTTAAAAATATGTAGAAAATATTAGTAATAAAAACTGTATAATTATAAAAGTAAAATTAAATAACATTTCTCAGTTTATAATGCATATTTCAATATATACTTTTAGTGATGATTTGATTTATGAGTTATTACCATATTTTAAGAAGTTTACCAAAAATATAAATCAACATTTAATGAAATGCATCAGTTATTATCATATTTTATTAAATTTACCAAAAATATATATCAGCAATAAATATAATTCTCCATGTCATATTTAACTATAAGTCATATCATCAATTTTAGTAGCCATCTCATCATTTTTTTTGTAAAAATAATTGTAGAGAAGACATGTGGCAAATCACTTTGCAAATAATATATAAGGGATATATATACATTTTTTTTTGTTAAAATTTCTATTTATATTTGGTGGGAATTCTATGTTTTTGTTGTTTTTTTCATTGTTATTTCTGGGAGAAACATTTCGTTTAGTGTTTACACATTCCCAAAACTAAATTAATGACAAGCACTCCTAATTTAGTTATATACTAGTGTGATCTATCCATACTGCGTACGGGAAAAAGAGAAGGATTAATTTATTATGTTACGACAGTGTGATTTTTAGCAAAAAATATTTACCCGGTTCATGCTAATACTCAATGTATTTATATTTGTAGACAACAAATAAAATACTTAAGTTTTATTAGAATAATAGTAACATTCTCTTTTTTTTTGTAGACGAACAAAGTGATTAATTCTCTTCTAAATTTCAGTTAGATTTTCAATTCACTTTACTTGGTTGCAAGGTTTGTGTTAGCTTTTCTTATGTTTCTCCTACAACATTTAGAGTTTCGGTTCCTTTGATCATTATGCTTAAATATACATAAACTGAATGTAAATAGTTTTTACTCTGAAATATTCTTTTTGTTTGGGATGCTAATATTTTTGCAAAATTTCAATTTCATCATAGCACTGAATGTAAAATATCAATTATGAATCTTATTTTTAAGATATTATCTTTTTTATCTTTGGCAGTTAATGAAGAAAAAACAAATATCAATCCAAGAGAAACAGTACAAAATAGGATACTTCCTTATGATAAAAAATTAGTAAAATATGATATTTATATTTGTAATTCCATTTTGTTGATAGTCTTTTTGGGTGGTGTTAGATTCTCTGCTCTTTTCACATCTTTGAAATGCATATAAGTTAGTGGTTATACGTTAGTTTTGGGATACATTTTTAAGCATGCAAAGCTTTCAAAATAAGATGAAGATTTTCGAGGAGTAACAATGTGAGACAGAGAAAAACTTTGTTACATCCATTTGGGTAAATAAGTATAGCCTTGAGATTTTTTTTTTTTTTTTAAGTATAACCTTGAGTTTTTCGAAGAAAAATCTTGTACGTAGGTGAGATTTGATAAATAAAGGCCATGGTAGAAGTAGAGAAAGATTGAAATCCAAAGATACTAATCAGATACAAAATAAAAAATATAGAATATGAATACCAATCTGTCTCGCGAAGAAGCTTGCATGTCTCCATCGGATCTGTTGAGTAGAGAAAGAGAGAAAATCTGTTTTTTTTAGCAAGATGCAGTTATATATAAACTAATATAGGTAGTTATTTAGAAATTGTTGGCGAATGGTGATCGTGGGAATTGGGAAAGAGGAACTGTGCCGAAGAAAATATTTTAATTTTGTCAAATAAACATTTAACCTTTTTAGTTTTCATTTTTCATTTGTTTTTTATCTAAAATTATTTTTATTTCTTAATTCAGGTGTCAAATTCTAATTCGCTAGGCGACTTGCGCTTTAGTATATAAAGGATACTTCAAAATATGATAGTTCGAAACTGAAAACCCAATAAACCTAAACTTTCATCGGTTTACTGTTTAGAAAAAATAATTAAAATATAATACCAATAGTAAACCGGAATGAAGCCAATTATGATCTGAGTACACCTGCATTACCTCACCAGAATGAATAATAAAACACTAAATCAGAAAGAACATCCTGATACAATAATCCCAAAATTCTAGAACTCTAAATCAATTTCTAAGCATGATACGTAAAGGTTCTAATGAATGATTTGCAATGTGCAAGTCAAAGGAGAAATCATTGGAAAAGCAGGCGAGCGAGAAAAGTTTCAAATGGAACGAATTGTCTAATAGTTCATCAACGAACATTCGATTCACCGCATAGTGTATCCAAAACACGAAAATGATGAAGAAGATTGGAGTTCCACATTTTAACATTATAATTATTTTAGTAACCAAAACATGTTAAAATATCTTCTCTAAAATTTATAGATTCGTCTCCCTCAAATCTCCAAAACCAATAAGCCGGATGAATAAAAAGTGGAGCCTAAACAATGACTGAAAATAAGATATATAGTTATAACTCACATCCTGGTATAATTTTAGCTTAAACCAAATCAACAATAAACACAACAAATTTTTTTCTATTTTTCTGGTATTGAACTGTCATGTTACAAATTTCTATCTTATATCTAAATTTGGGCTTAATCCATCGGTGGGAAAATTTCCATCCATTGCTAAACGTCTGATGCTTTTGCATAATTATGTATCTTTTAATACTTCGCATCCAATTGGCACCTTCTTCACCAACTCTATAAATGACTAAAAGAATCTTAATACACACTTTGACTCAATAAAAAAATCAAAAAGATATTAGAAATACGTAAAACACTGTTTACCAGCTCCCCTTAACTTTTGTTTGTTCTCAAACCAAACAAAAAGTATATTGAAGATGTTTGAAAACATGCAAACTCACATACACTTTATAGCACCATCTTACCTTTTCAGTTTCAAGCCACATCAATAAGCACCAGTCTAAGAAAGTAATTCCATGTATTCGTACCACAATCGAATAGTATATTAATGTAACTATTCAAGATCGAATCCACATAGACCAATGGTTATACAACAAGTATACGAGACAAGATCATGACTAAGACGAAAAAATAGGGTGTTGTATTGTAATCTTAAAGCTAAGCAGAAATGTAAATATGCAGAAAATACAATGTAAGAGAAACATTGAGCAATAGGGAAATCGCAGGGATTTAAGCAAGTAGAAATGGATTGAGGGTAAGTGAAATCACTAAACAACGTCTTAAACTCAAACACGACAACATAATCAACATACTTCCATACCACTAATTCTTGAAATTATAAAATCTTCCACAATAACTTCCATTGAGTTTTAGACTCTAAACAAGCATTCAGATCATGTTTTATATATTCACAAAGCGCATACCATTATCGTCTGTTGGTTACATACACCTTTCTCATATAAAGTTATTTTAGACACTTAATCAAACAATTTGGGGGTGTTAATGATAAGATTTGTTTTCATCTCATTTGATATTCTGTATTCTGTTTATATAAATTTATTTAGTTGTTTTTATTTTAGATTAGAATACATTTCTTCTAAAAACAATAATCGGACTTTACCTTAACAAATGTTAACTCAATGTTAAAGCCACCCCAACCGTAGATATGAACATAATCTTACAACTTTATCTCCTCTTGACACATTTTCTAACATAATCTTATAAACCAACTCCGGCTACCAAAATACTATACCCCTACCATTCGGCTGAGTGGGCTGTTAAGTAATCCGCCATCATCTAATAACAATTTACAAAAATATTTTGAATTATACATGATTCCTTAATTACCGACATCATTGAATTATGCATGATTAACTGATATGTCATGGATTTAACCCACTTTTAACCATGTTTTATATATGTTTTTGGAAACAAAAGGATATTTCTAGTGTCTTTTTAGAGCTTTTACAGGTTTAGGTATTCATTGGTGTAAACTAACCATTATGGAGCTAAAATGAAGACTTTATGAAGATATGATCAGAACAATAAAGATATCGACCGATGCACGTTAAGGGCAATCGACCGATGAAACATCACCCGTATCGATCGATTAAAGACATTCACCATCGATCGAAACAGAAGTCTTCCAAGCAATTAAATAAAGATTAGAAGCCCTAATTGCTTCACAAGAGTCTTAATAATTACACTTTAAGTCCATGACTGCCTGTTAGGCTATAATAGGAGGGTTTTGTACTAGTTTAGGCAGACTTCCAGAGAGAGATCTCTTTAGACCTAATTTTAGAGAGAAGCACTTTGCTACACTTTGAGAAGAGCTTAGGAGTAGAGAGAGAGAGATCTGAACTGCAATTCTAGAGAAGATATAGGGTGTTTAAAATATAGTTCTTCATTGAATAAACTATTTAGGGTGTTTAAAATATAGTTCTTCATCTAGTCATCATTAATGCTAGTGATAAGGATTGATCACCCTTATCTCTGATTTTAGGATCAATATGGACAAGTGATAATTTGGCAGTTACCTGAAATCTAAGTAAATTTAGTGAAGACTAGAGAATCGTTCCAAACTTGTTATCAAAACTTGCTGGTGTTAATATTGATCGACGAGGTGACAACCTTGTCGACCGATATGGCAAAGAGTCATCGATCAATGATTCGATAGAATATCGATCGATACCTTCTCATGGTCATCAGACGATAGTTATTGACCTGAGGCCAATGTGAGTTAATCCTTTAGGTTTAAAACCTCTAAAAGTTTGAATCCTGAACTATGAACAATAAAAACCCTTTACAACTTGCATGTTTGTCATACCTGAGAAAATTCCTAAGTTTAACTACATTCTTTCCTCTTAGCAAACCAAACTCGAGAATCGTTTTATAAAACTCGAGAATCGTTTTATAAAACTCGAGAATCGTTTTATAAAACTCGAGAACCGTTTTATAAAACTCGAGAACCGTTTTATAAAACTCGAGAATCGTTTTATAAAACTCGAGAATCGTTTTATAAAACTCGAGAATCGTTTTACAAAATCGCAAAAAACCGAAAAAGCCGTAAACGCGAACTAGTCACGACTAGTTCGCCCATCGGCGAACTAAGGACACTCCACTAGTTCGCCCATCGGCGAACTAAGCCGGTCCCGGCTTAGTTCGCCGATGGACGAACTAGGGACACTCCTCTAGTTCGCCCATGACCGGCTTAGTTCGCCGATGGGCCAACTAAAAATCATCCCACTAGTTCGCCCATCGGCGAACTAAAACCTTCTCGGACATCCCGCGCCTCGATTTCCCGCATCCCCGATTCGAAACTTACGTCTTTCGACACGATCGCATTCTAAACTACGGCTAAAACGTCTCTCGTTCCATCTCGATCCGGCTTACCGTTCGAGTTTTACGATAAAACCGTAAAAACTTCGCTTTCTCAGAAAGAACTCGAGAAAATCGTTAAAAACGGCAACGGTTAAACGAAACACCGAACATTGCCTAAACGATACGATTTATTCGAAATTTCTCGTTAAAATCATAAAAACGCGCTTTTTAATAAAAAACCCCGAGTAAGTCGTAAAAAACGTGTTTTTAATAAAAAGTCGAGTAAATCGTAAAACTTCGCGATTAACTCGAGTAATTTATTAAAAACGACGTCAGATCAGGAAACAATCCCGTAAAAAGTCGGATAACGGTTTTTATCGCAAAACGGCCCGGAAGGACCTAAAACGCGATAAAAACCCATCTCGCGATTTCAATGGAATCTAACCCGTAGATTTGATAACGTTTTGACGGTTTAC